ATAGCGGGTAAATTTTACCCGTTGGTGGTTTTAGGTATACTGCGACCTCTGGCGGTTCTAGTGTTAAAAAGGAAGCTCTTCAACACACTTAACATCTTGGTCTGCCTCCCTAATAAAAACAGGAAGTTGAACATGAGATAGTGTACTGTCACTAACCTGGCGAAGGTTTCCTCAGGCAGGGCTTTTTGTGCCTCACCGTCCTGGCTGCAGAGTGTGTCGGCAGCGGGGGGGTCGCTTGGGGAGGGGCTCTGCTGATGCAGGCGGCGGATCGTGTGGCAGGAGAGGAGATGAGGGGTGAGGGAGAGCTCGTGGACCCGGGACAGGACGATGTCCTCAGTAGACTGGGAGACGAGCACCCGGAGCACCGCCAGGATCCCCGACACCCACAGCTGCACCGTCCCTACGGAAGCCTGGAGGAGAAAAAAGTCAGTAAGTTTGCTTTTACTTAAAAAATAGACATGGTTTAAGGTACATTAGATGAACAAATGAAAAGTCTATCCAGGGCTTTGTGTAGATATCAGAAGAGATGTCTCACCATGGTAACCGGGGTGGTGAACATACTCTTGAGCAGCATGTCCACAGGTCGGAGAGAGGAGGGGGCCACCGTCTCAAAGAGAGTGTTCAACACCCCCAACGCCTCCGGAGAGTCCAGGTGCATCTGGGAGGCACAACAGACAATGTTCACTAATGACAAGAAAGGTTTTCACCAGACCATTTCAAAGCATACAGGTTTCAAATCAAGGGATAATATTTGTCAGAGTGCACCAAAATGTTTTATCTCACTATATAAATATTAGTGATGTAATGAAACAAAGTGCATTTGCTTAAGTGACACATTTGTAGCTGAGTATTTCAGATTTATGCTCCATTTACTTTTACATTTTGGTGGCAAATGTTGTACTTTTTACTCTATTACAGTTATTAAACAAAGACTAACGAGTTACAGGTTCAGGTTACTGATTTGTAACCGTACAGTAGGTATATTTGGTTTCTAGCAGAAAGACAAGGCATCCATTTTGACACACGTTTTAAAACACCACAGACAACACTTTTTTTAAGTATTCCATGCTTCATCACATTTAAAAACCACTAGAACAAACAAATGAACTATCAAATAAATAAATAGCCGTTGCTTCCACAGCATCTGTGACGCTTACTAGCTACTTTGGATTGATAAAAACACATATGCTAAGATGATGTGATGCAGTACTGTACTAATAATCTACCCAGAAAGTTTAAATAGTACACAGTAAGTAATTGGAGCCAATATTGACAAACTACAAGATACAAATGTTATGGTATGCATTTGCTGATAAGAGTGACATTCTGCACACTAAGTATTTTTACTATTGAATCATGAAGTACATTTTGATGCCAATACATTGTTTTTCAACATTCACCAATGGTTTGATTTTGACTAGAACTTCTGTTTTCATACCTGCTGCTTCGAAATCATGGGAAGAATGACGTCAGCAATCTGCCTTGACAATCGCTTCCACTTGTCTTCATTCTCTTTGTGACACTGTTGCAGCACGAGGATGAACATCTCCAACACCTACAACAAAAAATATACAAAGTCAAATAACATTTTGGCAGAGAAAAGATTGTCAAGAACGTTTTCCACATTAGCATGACGTGTTAGAATCCATGTGTGACCGTACCTGATGGTGTTGCACCAGTCTGAGCAGCATGGAGACCACCACCTCTTTCTGTGTTTCCAACTCTTTGCCTGCGTCTGCTTTGTTGGAGCCCCTCAGCACAAACAGGTCGTGGACTATAGGCTGCAGGGCTGGGATGGCTGTGGAGGAAGAAGGAAAGACAAATCTCATTACTTTAAAGTCATGTCTGTTTTATGACAGAAGTCCTGTGAGGAGGTGTGTATGCACAGTTTATGGAACGAAAGCATTACAATTGTATTTAAACTCATTCTCAATTTTATATTTTGTAATATACAAGTTATTTATTGAATTACAATTTTCACATTTTTACTTTAAATTGTTTTTTTTGTATAAATAATTGTATTCTATTTTTAAAAAAAAGACTATTGATCATTTAACTTTTAGTCTATAGGTTTCTTAAAATATATTTCTATTGCAGTTTAACTTCTTATGTGTATACAAATATTTGTATTACACTTTTTTTATGTTCTTTTATTTATTATATCTAAAATGGAGCAACTGTCTAAAAACACAGTTTCCCTCTGGATGAATCAATTGGGAGAGTAAACTTCAGTGACATGTGTTGACGAGTAGAAGAAAACATTATAAAGGTAGTTCCCCTCACCATGTGTGACAGCTTTCCTGCCGCTCGCCATGATGCCGTCACACAGCTGGATGATCTTGGGGATGCTGATTATCTGCTTGGAGTGGTAGCGCTCGTATGAAAGGAGCACCAGGAAGAAAAAGATGTTGGGGATGATGGCCTCCGAATCTCTGTGTGACAACAATCATTTTTTATAGTTTACAGAACAACACTGGAATATTTGAGCTAGTATACAGCAAAGTGAAAATCACCTCTGGAACAGACGCATGCAGAAGCAGTCACAAAGATAACTCACCTGAACTGTCCCACTTCAATGTACTCAAACTGCTTCAGGACAAACCCTATGAACACCTGGAAGAGAAATATCCGAGTGAGTGAGCTAAATTCCAGCAGTTGAAGATAAACTCATGCATATGAATGCGTGTTTAGTTTGACCTGATCAGAGTCCAGCAGGCAGTAGTTGACTCTGAGCTGCACCAGCTGTGCGAGCAGGTCCAGGACTTGTCTCTGCAGCGCCACCGAGGTGCTCGTGGTGTACTGCTTCAGAGCTTTGATGACCAGCGGCTCAAACAGACGGATGTGGTTGTGGATGGCATTCTGGGAAAACAAAGAGGAGGCAGCAGCTTTCAGAACAGCAGCAGCTAGCTTAAGCTAATGTGACTTGCTCAAAGAAGTCGTGTTGACCCTGAAACACTTTTTCAAATTGTTAAGTGAAGAAGAAATATGTCAAACAATAAAATGGCAGTTATCGTCACGATTGAGAAAAAGGACTTCAAAGTTATCAAATAATAGCCAAAGTTATTTAGGGATGAGGCTTCAGGCTTAATATAATATGGGCACTGTAGACTTCGTTTTGATTCAAATCAACCAAATCCCCAAAATGACCACGTGTTTTTGACATAAATCCATATTTATCTTAGAATGAGTCATTGCTACATCAGACTCATTTCAATAGAGCTGTTCACAAATGAGCAATGAAAAAACAGTGTAACTTTACCTTGTCTCCTCTTTGGCGTGTCGCGTTTGCAATGTTGGACCTCAGCTGGTTCGAAGCTTTTTGCATCACATCAAACCATCTAAAAGTGGAAAAAGACAACAGATTGTTTCCATTTATCTGCACTGTCCTCTTTAGTTGTAAAAACTGAAATGTCCACATTGTTCTACGGGTTAAGGATATCTGATTTCATGTTCCTGTTTCTAAACTTCGTGTTGCTACCACTCACCCAGAGGTGTCCTGCTCCTGTTCGGCCTGCACCATGTTGCGTAGGCTGGCGTCGGCTAAAGCCTGGGTGAAGTGCGTGTACGGCGCCATGAAGCAGTAGTGGTAGAGGCCGGGTCGCAGGCTGGAGGAGCCGAGGCGCAGAGCCTTGCCCTGGGAGCGGCTGGGTCCGCTCAGGACGCTCTCGCACTGAGAGGCCAGGTTGGTGCCAAACAGGGTCTTCAACAGCTAAAGAAAGAAAAACGTCACTTAAAAAGAAAAAAAACGGGTCATGTGCTCATGCTCATTTTCAGGTTAATATTTGTATTTTGTCCGTCCACTGTGACACGTTTACATGCTTTAATGTTCAGAGTGCTTTATTTTTCTCATACTGCCTGTGCTTCACCCTCGGTCTGAAATCAGAGCCCAGTCTGCTCTGATTGGTTAGCTGGCCGGCCCTTGTGATTGCTCAACTGCTTAAAGATGTCCGGCCTCTATCACAGACAATGTGTTGGAGGGCTAGCCAATACAAGCGTTTTTGTTACGTAGTGATGTCACCATGTTACAGGAGTAAACAAAGGAGACCAAGCTAGGCGTTTAAGGCAAGGGAGAGAAACTCCCTCTGGAGGGAACACAGGGATTTTAGCCTTTGGAGACCATTGACATGCACAAAAACCTATAAAAACAAACTACAGGGAAGGGAAAGCCCCAAAAACCATAATAGGGCCCCTTTAAAAAAAATAATAGAGTAGAATTTGTTTAGGTCAAATCATATCTATTTTTATTTATACAGCCTAATATCACAAATAACATATTTGTCTCAGGGGGGCTTATAGTCTATACAGAATGACTCATGAAGACATAAAACATAAGATTACAACGTAGAGCAGACTGTCCAATGAGAAACATTTCTATGTGTACGTATATATAGAATATAGGTTTCAGGAGGGTGTTCATGGCAAGCCTGAGCCAGACCCAACTATAAGCAGTACCAAAAAGGAAAGTCTTAAGCCTACTCTTACATTTCAAAGGGGTTTCTGCCTCCCGAACACAAACTGGGAGCTGATTCAACAGGAGAGGAGCATGATAGACGTGTTGCACTTAACAGCAGTCTTCTCTAAAAATAAACTTGCCTACAACTCCATTAAAAGCCACATTACTTCCATTTGGATTGAGTCAGACACATGGATTGGTTTATTTTCTGTAATAAAATGTAATCATATTTATAATGGAATATTTTCTTAATTCTGAGATCAGACTCATTGGCTAGCTCTGAATAATATTAATAAAAGTGTATCAGGCAGAGTGATTGGTTTTTGTTTATGTAGAAAAGTACACTTCTGAAACCGTTACCGTTATAAATGGGCAAACTGATTCACAATGACATCATCCTTTATTTCTAACAGTTTGGTGTCGATAAAGGTGCAGGCAACATGACGTCCAGCTGGTAGTGAGTGTGTGTGTGTGTGTGTGTGTGTGTGTGTGTGTGTGTGTGTGTGTGTGTGTGTGTGTGTGTGTGTGTGTGTGTGTGTGTATAAAAGATGTATGGAACCATCGCTCAGGGAAACCAGCTCCTTTACGGGCCCTGTCGTAAAGCACCACTTCACTCTGTGTGGAGTCGCAGCGGTCGCAGCACACTGCTCAGTGTTGGAACCATAAAGACTGCCACACACGAAACAAAAAACTTGACACAACACACAAGTAAATCTATCATCAGACATAAAACACATATTACTGACCTGTTGTACACAAACTGTCGCCATGGTGGGTTCTCTGGAGAAGCAGGACTTGAGGTAGCTCAAGATTTCCTCCACACACTGACAAAGAACAAACACCATTTTATTTAATGGATTATGTCCATGTGAACAACTGTGATGGTACATTGGCTTATATGAAGATACCGATGCATGTTATTTATTTTCTCCTTCTTCTAATGAACTCTAACAATGTCTGATTTCAAACAGAGCTGTTTAAATATCTTTACCTTGCTGATGTCATGTAGTGTGGTGAGCTCCAGGAGCTGAGAGAGAACATCTAGAGCTGAACGCAGAAATCCTCCAAACTTCTCCTGACTACTGTGGAGGTCCAGCGTCACCTAGGCCAGAAGAAAAACACAATTAACAAAAGAAACGTGGAAAAACTGTACAAATTAGTTTGAAACTTCATTTATAGATTAAACTGCTGACCATTATTCATTTTGTTTTACGGTGCATCTGCACAGTGGCAGATAAAGATGAGGCTACTCTAATACGATTACTGACAGAGTATTTGAAGCTGGATGCTCCTTCTGACCTTGTAGTTGGCGTGTGTAGCTTTGAGGACGTCGTAGAGCTTGAGGTAGGTGGGCAGGTGGTAGAAGTTGCCGACGGTGGTAGACTTGTTTACGGCGGTGGACCCCGTGCCGTCTGCTGGCCTGCCTGCTCACAAAACAAACATTTGAAATATTCAGAAACATAAGTAAGACTTTCTTTTAGGGCTGCACCATTGATCGAAAATGTTACCAAAATCACAAAATGGACTATGCAATGTGCAAATCACAGTAAGCGAGATATTCAGTAAAGGCTAAATATGTGAAAATATCATTCTGAAAGACCTACAAACGGTTTGGTACAGATCCTCAAAAAGAGAAAATGTATGTTTCATTCCCTCTATAACCGTTTATCATATTGGAATTACAATATCAGTCTGAATACTTTTAGTACATTTTAAAGCTAAACATTTGAATACAGGACCTTTACTTGTAACAGAGTATTTATACACTCTGGTACTTCTACTTAAGTATTTCTTCCACCTCTGCCTGGGTATATAGACATAGAAATACACTGTATATGTACCTGTGTTGATGTCAACACTTTTCTTTGGGCTCATGGGGGCAGCACTGGGCTCCACAATATCCTTCTCCTTGCCTTTCCTCCTGATGGGACTGAGGGAGGGGGTGTTGCTCAAGGAGGGGAGGGTGGCCTGAAAAAAGGGGGAACAGATTAAATCATAATTAAATAATATAACAATCGGCCTTCCAGTGGATGCAACTATGTGATCCGCAGATATGACTGATCAAATCAAACAACAGAAGTATTGCAAGTGGTTACTTTAATAGCTGGTCCGGGGGGGGTGTCGTCCAGCACGTGGGCGCAGATGTTGAGGATCTTCAGTATGTGGGAGAAGAGCTGCTCCACCATGGCCACCAGGGAGCGCTCCGACAGCCCTGCCCAGGGCTCCTCCATCTTGTTGGGGCCTCCACTGGTGTTGGTGCTACCACTGCCGCCTTCCTCCTCTCCAGCCCAGGGGTTACGCATGCATTTAGGAGCCACAGCTGGGAACATGAATAACAGACTTTTTACAGCTTCTGTCTCTGTATTTTTAAGGGTAGTGACGTCACCAAAAAACAAAACTAAATTACTTTAAAGATTTAGCTCATTTGAATTTAAGGCACCAGCTCTTCGATGGTTTGGCTTACTTGAAGCAGGTTTCTAGCCATTTCTATTTTCATGATTGTTGCACTTTTTGAAAGTCACTTTGGCTAAAGCATCAGCTAAATTAAATATCATGTTTTAAAATGATGGGTGAAAGTTCTTTGAGGAACTCGAGCAACATGAGTACTGAAAATATTTGCTTTTATTAACCGCACCACCATTATTTATTTAAATTTCAGAAGATGTTATCTTTACAGCCCAGAATGTAAAAAGGGCACTTTAATGCACAAAATAGGTTAAGTTTTGAGTTGAGACTGACACGTTTGTACATTTTAAACAATAACAGTGAACCAATTAGTTGCTAACTTAAAAATAGAACTACATTTTTTTTTTCTCTTTTGTTAAAGTATATTTGCTCTTTAAATAAGCAAAAAAACATCTTATCCCAACTAAAATCACAACTGACTTATTGTCTTAGGGGGCTTTACCATGTGAAGAGTACAGGCAGAGATGGGGTCGTTACTAAAAAAAAGTAATATATTACATATTACTTTTAAAAAAAAGTAATATATTACACTACTTCGTTACTCTCTAGATAAAGTAACTCGTTACTTTACTCGTTACTTTACTCGCAGGGCCGGCCCGCCCCTCCCTACAGGCAGATCACGCAGACTGTGGCGCACCTACAGTGTGCGCGCCACAGTTTTGCCTCTGCGAGACTCCACTTGCACCCCCAATTACTATTGCATTAAGGAAGACATAACACAAGTCTTTCTTTTTATATGCTCTAAAATAGGCTACCAGCCACACAACAAGCTCACAGTCTGTGAAACGTCAAGACACTAATTAATTAAACCAGTTCAAGACGCATTATTCTTATCATTCTTTATGAGCGCAGTAACGGTAAGGTATCTAATTACTTATGTATTTAGTATTCCATAACTTAGTAACAGAGATGGTCAAACTAAAGTGGTAGAGACATGGCAGAATTCCTACAATGAAGCGGGACATTGAACTGTTCACCCGTGAGAGGGCGATCAACAAAAGAGAGCGAGCGGCCCGTTGAGGGAGTTTACAGATGAAAAGACTCAGCCATGTTTATGCAGCACTGCTGCACGTGAAGATGTGGTCTCGCAAGTCGCGCAGATTACATAGGCCTACATGTATATAAACCGATATAAACCTGCGGCGGAAACCCCTCTTGTCTGTCAGTGAGTGTGATTCTTTTATACAAGTAACGAAGTAACGCGTGTCGGGGCAATGTTAGTAACTGTAGTGTGATTACTGAATTACTAAAGTAACGCGTTACACTCCTCCGTTACCAACAGCAATAATATTATTACTGTTACTTTGTAACGCGTTACACCCAACTCTGAGTACAGGTCACCTTCTTTCCTTAGACCCTCGCAGCACACGAGGAAAAACTCCCCAAAAAAAAGCCCACAATTCATGGGGCAATTTGGAATAAACTTCTTGGAGAGCAACAAAGGAGGGATCCCTCTTCTAAAATAATATATGAATCTAGAATTTCTATGAATATTACCCACCAGCAAGCAGATTGCCAGACAGCAAAAGTGCATCTTGGTGTGAGGCCAGATCAAGTGGAAACCAGGCGGAGGAGAGTAAGGAGAGCACCATGTTGGCCATGCCTACTGTCAGAGTCCTGCGCTCAGTGTCGGGTGCAGACGAGGAGGAGGCTGAAGAGGCTGGAGCACTGCCGGTCTGCGACACACTGCAGAGCCGAGAGACAGGAGAGGATCAGTTACTATTGAGAAGAGAGGAAGGGAAAGGAAAAAGAAAGGAGGATGAAGTAACAAGAGAAGGAGTGCACGTACCTGAGGGCCCGGCCCCTGCTGCGGTTCAGACTAGAGCGGGAAGAGAAGCTGCTGCTGGAGCTCACATAGCCGCAGTGCCAGCCTGTACTCCAGGTGCACACTGGGAAATGTGTAGCCAGGAGGCATAAGGCCTCACAGCAGCCAAACTGTAGAGAAACAAGACAAAAGGAATAGTTTTCAAACATGTTCATATAAAAAATACAAGAGAGATGTTCTATCCAGGGGGCAAACTAAAAGGTGTGAAAGCTCACAGTCAGGGCTTTGGAGGTAGAGGAGGTGAAAGCGTGGGAGATGGCGGTGACGACTCTGGACAAATTGTTCTCGATTGTGACATCAGACACGTTGTTGGACAAGTTGTAGCCTCTGTACGTCCTGGCAGAGAAAGGAATCACAGATGATTGACCAATGAGGCTTTAGCCTATGAGATGCGACATCAAAGGAGTGTGTTTCCGTACCTTGTGATGGTACTAACTGTGAACTGGGAGGGGGGTTGGGCCTCGTGCATCAGCAGCTGCAGGTAGACTGAACTCTGGTCCCGGGCAATCGCCACTACTGGGTCCACTTGACCCTGGTCGCAGTCGTAGAACAATCTGGAAACCAGCCTGTTGAGAGACAGAGAGAAGGGAACATTAGAAAGAAGACACCCCAAATTCAAAGTAAGTACAAAGAAAATTGTACTTCAAAAAGCTAAAGAGTGAGCAGAAAGCAAAACAAAGTCATGTGTTTTGGTCATCCAAACAAAAACCCACTTATCTTACTACTTGTAATGTGTTATATTGTTGCTACTCTTATTGCTAGCAATAAGTAAGAATCTTGCTTGCTACAAGGAACTGGTTAAAAGAAGATTATCTAATGAACTCTTAATAAAAGGATCTTGTAAATAATGATATGCAATGGAACAATTAGAAAAGAAAAGAAGATCATATCTTTGAAGATAGAATGGAAAAATGGATGAGGTATAGAAGACAGATCATTACTAATGACCCTCTGGTTAGATTTGTCATCGATTCTAGGTATGAGAATCAATGATGTACCCTTTATCATCTGGTAGCTAAATCCCAATTCATTTCTAAAAAAGTAGATAAAATAAAAAAGTACCAACTCTGGGTTAGAGTTTAATAAATTGTAACTGATTTTTTCTTGTATGAAAGAAACTGATGAGTTTACCTGCTGACAGCTGACGCTGCCACGTGTCGGACTCTGGGGTCGTCATCTCCCAACAGACGGATGACCAAATCGTTCAGGACTCGGTCCTGCAGGCACAGCCGCTAGATAGAGAGGAATCGGACATATTAGGGACCACATGTTCCAAGTTGTAGTGTTATTTTTTGTGGTTAACAATAGAATTAACTCAAGTTTAACATTTTGGCATCTAAAAATATAAAAAGACTTACTTCTAATCTCTACAGAAAGACTACCAG